GACAATATTGTATGAGGATCTTGGTCAAATATCAACTTTTGTTAATTTAATTACATTCATTTTGGTATTTGATTTTCGAAAAAACAAAGATTTAGTTTGAACATGGTTGAAATTCGATCTAACTAATCATATTTTGAAATTTGTAAAATTAGATTTTCTTGTGTTCATATTCGAGATTTGTTTTAACAATAAAGGTACATTTCATTATTTAATTTGGATTATTCTTAGAAGCATGATTAATATCCATAGTCTGTTTGGATTAAGAAGTTTTTTTTTTCTTTTATTGGAGATATTAATATTAAATAATACGTTTCACTAGCAACTTAAACTTTTGGTTGAGATGATTATTCAACATAGTATCAGAGCCGAATCAAATAAAAGATCATTACTGAATTACCTTTGAAACCTTTGAAATTTTTAATTTATTTTTAATTGTGAATGTTGTGGTAAATGAAAAAAATAATATTAATTGTTTTAACTATAATATTACTCAAAAAAAAAAAAAAAACTACAATATTAATAATATCATTATGAATAATTATGCCAGTAACGGTAAAACTGATTTTGTGGCCAATTTTGGAGTTTCTGCAACAAAAGATTTCTGGAGTATTTGAATTCTTGACCATTAATTGTTATAAATGTCTTTTAATAATAGATAAAATAATAAAACATATCATAGAACTGTTCGAAAACATTTTTATACATAGGTGTAAGCAATTCCCATAATAATATATAATTTCTGAGAGGGAAAATACAAGTCTCATCCTTTAAGTTTGCATCGATTTCATATTTTGTCTTCAATATTAACAAAAAATACATTTGATTCCTAATGTTTGAAAAATTCAACATTTTTAGTTTTTTCGTTAAGTTTTTGTGCTCACTACTACCTAAACTGACGGACTAACGATAAACCGACTGAGAGGACAAAAAATATTAAATTATTGAAACGAGGGACCAAATATGTTTTTTCGTGAACATGAGGGATCAAATGTGAAATGAATCCAAACTTGAGGGATGAAAACTGTGATTTTCCCCTTTTTCGTGAACATGAGGGATCAAATGTGAAATAAATATAAACTTGAGGGATGAAAACTGTGATTTTCCCCTTATTGAGAGTTACGTTCTTCCCTTTTCTATTTTTTTTTTTTAAGTTTTAATTTTATTTTTAGTTGTTGTGGGCATGATATTTGTGCAAGTATTAAAATTCAAATATTCTATTTTTTTTTACCAAATTTTTAAATCTAGTGGTGTTACGATATTTTAACTTGTAATTATATATAATTAATTTGATAATACACATCTATAATTGAAGATAAACATATATCTATCAATGTTTATAATATTTGTTTAGAAACCCACAAATTTACTAGTAAAAGACCGAGATGGAGAAATTTCATTAATCATAAAAAACAGGCATAAACATTATTTTCATTTAGAGAGTACAACGAGTGTGACATTGATAATATAATCCAGAGGACTAATTAATCAATCACGATTAAAACTTCCTCCCAATTAACCTTCGATTTTTCTGAGCTACTGGGGGCGCGTTAACACAAATGCAATTTCCGTTATCGCAAGCTGGTTCTCCTCTACAGCCCCAAGGTAGACAATCGCTACCCTTCTCACAGTATGCCTCGGAAACTTGGCCACCTAACAATTTAAAAAAAGAAAAACGAGCTCATATCTTGATGTATTAGCGAATTAATTATATATTCATAAGATTGAATAATCTTACACGATAAGAGAGGGATACTTACCGAAGGCGACTAGCAAGAAAGTGACCAAGAAAACAACCTTAATCGTATTAGTTGCCATTCTTTTATGTATTTCCAAATGTTGCGAAAATTTAGATTAATTGTGTGTTTTTACTTTGGCACCATTTGTTAGTTATATTTATAGTGTGACAAAATCTTCATCGATTATTATTATTAATAAATAAAAAGGAAATGTATTTGTGGCAATATACTATTAGCTCATTTTAGTAATTTTAGATTTAGAAGATATTGTTAGAAGTTTATTTTTCATGATTCTCAAGATATTTGATTTGATTATTTTTAATATTTGATTTGGTTGCAATTTTCTTTTCTGATTTGTTTTTATCTACTTTAATTATAGGATCTATACAGAACATTTTTCATTAATTATCCGGCCGTAATTAACATTGATTTTTCAAATTCATCATCCCCATGCAATTTTACTGGACTACCCTTGGCCAAAAAAAATATTAATTGTTTTTTTTTAACTACAATGTTAATATTATTGAAAATAATTACGTTATAGCAATGAAAAATTTCATCAAAGACCAAATAAAGTTATAAAATTGTTCAAAAACTTGTTTACACACACACATGTGGTATGTACATTCCTATAAAGATTGTTTGAGATGCACCAACAAATGTAATTTGCATTTATTATTTTTACTTTACAAAATCACGAAAAATATCACTCGTGAAATCAACAATCGATGTTTCGCCATCTAAAAATTGATGTACATAATCTATTTGGATTGGTTTTATCTGCCAACCGACTGAACTTTCCCTTTTCCTTTGGCCGATAATGTCAATATCTTTGAAAGTCGGTTGGTCGATAATCACCTTACCACCAACCTTTTTTTTTTTTTTTTTTTTAATTTAAAATATATTTTTTTCTACAAATTAGTAAATTATTAGAAAATAATTAATGGGAATACAAAAAATAGAAAAGTCTATATATGAACAAAAAGGAAAACATTTGAAATATGATGCATGTTTTAATATTAATGGGAGGTTTTTTTTTTTGTCATAATTGATAATGTTGAGAGAAATTTTAAGAGATTGAAAATTAAATTAAATTAGAGTATTGGATTATTTGAAAGAAATGAATATTTATTTTCCGAATGCATAATTATTTATAGAGAACAATTTGTCGATAAATTTTTATCTTTGATCAACTATATTTAAAAAAAAAGCTGAACGAATTAGCTATTTTATCGAACAAAAATATTATTAAAGAAGCATAATTTTACGAGCTTGGCCGATAATTTGCAGCTTATGAAACAAGAAAAATAATATTTTAATAATTATTGTAAGTATTTTTGTGTTAAACATGTACGAATTGTAGATTTGCATATATTATATAACTGAAATGCTATTCATAGAATAACTTTTACCGGCTTGCAGTGCGACTTTATTTCATTTTTAATTTTCAAAGAAAAAAACCACATTTCTCTCAAACCCTTTTCCAACCATGTTTCGTGCATGAGTATTTCGTATTCCCTAACACGAAATGGATAGAAGCATTTTGTGCAAAGAAGCACGAAACAGTGTTTTTTTACGATGCACGAAACCATAGTATTTAATATTTTTTATGTATTTCGTGTAAATTTACACGAAATACAAGCTTGAATTTCGTGTAAATTTACGTGAAACCACTAAACTTTTTTTTTTTTAATTTATTTTTTAACACTCAAATATATACAAGAGAATAACAACAAACTTAAAATGAAATTCAAATACTAAGTAGACTGAAATTCAAATGTAAATACAAATTAAAATAAACATATATTTCGTAAACTACGGACCATACTTTAATCATGATATTCTTGTTCTTGTTCCTGCATAAAAAAATCGTATTAAATAACTTATTTTTTTTTATTTCACGTTATTTAAACGATTTTTTTATACATGAATAAGAACAAGAATATCACAATTTGATTCATACGATTTAGAATTCAATTTGCTATAAAAACATATATTTTAAGAATAAAACTAAAATTATGCTAAAATCATAGGTTTTGATTACAAACACTAGTTAAATACGATCATTCCTCATAATAATATAATACGTTCACATTTTGTCATGACTACTTTTCTTTTCTTTTAATATTTTTCAACCCTAACTGTATTAAAAAAATAGACTTCAAGTAGTATGTTTTTATTGTAAATAATAATAATAATAATAATAATAATAATAATAATAATAATAATAATAATAATAATAATAATAATAATAATAATAATAATAATAATAATAATAATAATAATAATAATAATAATAATAATAATAATAATAATAATAATAATAATAATAATAATAATAATAATAATATTTATTGTCCAATAAAACTCTCTTCAATTTATTGTACTTTACAATTTAATTATATTTTAATGTAGAAGATAGATTCAAGAGAATTTTATTTGATTTACTTGGATATACATGTCAATTTTCACCAATTGATCTCCTACATGAGCAATGAGTATTATTAGT